CATTGTTTATGCTGTTTGGTCATCTTAACCTTGAATTTCACGTTGTGTGATATTAGTGTAACACTCATGCTTTCCTTTGGGGGTATTTAGCTGATGTTTTTTGGCTCTTCCCTTTATTTTAAACTTTTCTCAGTCATTCAATTTTAAGCATTTTTTATAAACAGTCTGTATATGACCTTTGTATCTTTTTTTATTATTTTTTATTTTTGGCTGTGTTGGGTCTTCGTTTCTGTGTGAGGGCTTTCTTTAGTTGCAGCGAGCGGTGCCACTCCTCATCGCGGTGCCCGGGCCTCTCACTGTTGCTGCCTCTCTTGTTGCGGAGCACAGGCTCCAGGCGCGCAGGCTCAGTAGTTGTGGCTCACGGGCCTAGTTGCTCCGCGGCATGTGGGATCTTCCCAGACCAGGGCTCGAACCCGTGTCCCCTGCATTGGCAGGCAGATTCTCAACCACTGCGCCACCAGGGAAGCCCTGACCTTTGTCTTTTTAACTCATCTGACAGCCTGTCTTTTAGTGGGAGAATTCAGCTTTCTTTTAAATTCTAATGAGTGATGCCTGATTTTGTTACTTTTTTATCTTGTTCCTTATTTATATTTGTGACTTTTTACATTTTTTTAAAAATTTGTTTTATATTTTCAAGTTGATATTCATTTCCCAGTTTCCCCTTCTTTATGTGTCAGTTGTTCTGTACTTTTCCATTTCATTATTGGCCACCTTCCTTTTCAATTGCTCATAGATCCAATTTTTCCCCCCTGCTTTAACATGAATAATGATACCAACATTTTCCTTCACCTTCACACACTAATCCTCTCCTTTAATGTTCCTAAATTTCTTTGGAGATAATTTAATTTTTAGGTTCAGATTTTTGTTAGACGTTTGTCAAAAATTCATATTGAGCACTTACATTACATATTCCATATAGTTTATTATCCATTTAGATTTAGTTCTGTATAGAAGGCAAAGTAATTGCACTCCTGTTTCTTCTTACATGAAAGGTTTCATTTCTGATTCAGTTATTGTTCCATTAGAATCCCTTCTTAAGTCCTTTCCTTAGATGGAGTGGTAGCTAATGTGATCTTTGAATCCTTAAATTTTGGAAAACACTACTTTCCCACTGAAGGATGTTTGGCTTGTACTGCTTTTTTCCTAGCAATCTAGATGTTACTGTTCTTTCTTTTTAATTCCAGTGTTACAAATGAGAAGTCCATTGTTAATTTGATTCTTTTTTAGTATTAAGTAATTATTCTTTCTGGTAGCTTGTAAGGTTTTCTTTTTATCCTTAAAGTTTAGGAATTTTAGTGTGATGTTCTTGAACATGTGCCTTTCCCTTCATTAGTCCTGGCTGGATCTTGGAGAGCCCTGTAATTTTGTAATTCAATCTCTTCTTTAGTTCATGGAAATTTTCTTGCATATTACTTTAATATATTTTCCTTTTCCCCCGTCTGGAGACTCCTTGGGAACTTTTCCTATAGTTGGTATGTTAGTTAGGTTGCCTTAATCTGTTCTTCAAGTCCTTTCTCTTTTTCCTTTATGATTTTCATCTCTTTGTGTTTTCAGTTTATGCTTTGAGATTTCTTCCAGTTGGTCCTTCATTCACTCTAATTCATCAGTTAGACCCCATCTTCTCTTTTAATTTAGCTACTGAATTATTCAGCTTAAAGATTTTACTTCTTTAAATTTTCATCTAATTAATTTTCTAAAATTCTGTAGAAATTATTTTTTGCTCTCTACTTGACTCTCCTTAAGTAGTCATACTATTTTTGGCCTCAGTATTTTGTCTCTGTCCTTCAGGAGATCTGTTAGGTCTGCTCTCTCCCACTGTCTCCTGTCATTAGGTATGTTGTTTATATGTGCATTGGGGTTCAGGTTGAGCTCTTAGGGGACCTTAGTTTGTTTTAATCCTATAGGGGATCCTATAGGGGATGGAAGGTCCAGGCATCTCAGCCTGTGCTATAGCAGCAGGCATGTTGTATATTTCATGTGTACTTGGAGGACCTTGTCCCTTCCTTCTGGTCTTCTTGCATTCCTAGTTTCAGGCGTAGAGGGGACTCTCTCTCCTCTTGAGTGCCCCCCGAGCACTTTTGGGGCCAGGAAGACTGGCCACATTTGTGCAGTTATGTATGTGTAGAAGTCTTCTGGGTCTTGGCTTGATATCCAGAGCAGAGCAAGCCCTATACCAGTTCTCTCTCAAGATGCTTATAATCCCAAGGTCACATTCTTCAGGCCCCACTCACTACCTGTTGGCCCCTGGAGCTGACGGTTGAATGGTAATTAGTCTGTGCTGCTTAGTGGCACTTAATATTGAGGTTAATAGTTCAGTAAAAAAATTTAAAAGCCAGTGACTTGATCCTCAATTTGTATGGGATAGATAGGATGAGAATCAGTGAAAGCTTTTATTCTGTGTCAGTAACAATTTAATTCCTGACGTTGTATTGAAGCCTCTGTTTTACATTTATTACATGTATGTCTATGGAGGCAGGTGATGTACATTTGAACTTTGCCATTTATCACAGGCCCAGGCCAAAGAAAACGTAGCCTTCAAGAATAGAAACTGTTCTTTCAGTTTTTGTTATTTTCTAAATTTTTGTCTTGGATGTTTTTATGGAATATGTTTCCCTTGTTAACTCTTGAGTTGCTTTAGCTTAAAGAATGCTTTTTGGTAAAGTGGAAGGAACAAGAATAATTGGGTCACTTGCTTATACCAAGATTTGTTGGGTGGGTGAAAAGGTGACAGTAGGCATTTAATACCTAGACCAACATGGAGAGTAAAGTTATAAAATTTCTTGAGTTTTGTATTTAACATCATGTGTATGTAATTAAGATGAGAACTTGAACTTTCTATGACACAAGAATCTGTGTCGTATACCACTATGTACTTTGCCTTAAGAATTCAGTTTGTCCTACAAAAGGATTTTAAAAATAAATCATGAAAGGACCCGTACAGAAATCCTTTTTTGTGTGTGTGCTAAAATGTTATATTTTTAAATGCTTAATGCTAGAAAATATGTTGGTAGCTTAAATTTGTGCATTTATAAAAATGTGTATAATACTCCATGAAGGTTGAATATGAAACAGCAGTGCTTGGGTGTTCTAGAGCCATAATTAGAATACCGTTTGCAAATTGACAAAATTCAGTGGGTCAACAAACCAATTAAAAAAAAAAACTCAAGTATATTAGATTTCAAACTGTTCTCCCTTAATTTAGTTTGTCCATAATACTTTATTTTAATTATTCATAGTATTGCTTAACATGCCAGGAAATGTCTTATAATAGAATTTACAAAATAATGTCCTTTCAGTAATATGAATATGTACTATCTTTAGCATTCTGCTTTTAAATCTCAGATTCAGGTGTTTTGTAAGGAATTATCTAGTTTAATGGGCAAAAACATGTCTTAGTAACTTTATCCATTTTAGAATTTTGAAACCAAATGCTCACTTGGGAAAAATAAATGGAATAATTGGTATATGTCATTTTGTTGTTGAGCAAATAAGAACAAAACTTTTTGTAATAAAAAAAGTACATATTCCCACTAACATAGAACAATAATTTTTCATTTTGGGTATGGCTTTATGATGTCAATCTATATATATTTGTTTTTGTTTTTTGCATAGCCCCAGTTAGTAGATTGTTCATTTTCATGAAAAGCATGGCCCTTGCCTACTGGCTTTCCTGTGTCCTGCTAGATATTTAAGGAATACAGTATTGGTTTACATATCATTGGACTTAAGTGGGTAAGTTAGAGGTGAAACATAACAGGCCTGAAGATGTAAATTCTAGTTGAAAATCTGGACATTTAATTGTCTTTGGTTCCATTAGGAGGTGGAAGTAAACAAGAAAGAGCTCTTCTTTTAGTATTGGTGTGGATTTTTGCATGTCCAGGATCTACTTCCGTTTCTTATTCCTACTATGTGAATGGTTGAGGTTCAGAAACGTGGTAAGTGTAGACTTAGATTGTGTTCCTAGATAGAAAGCTTATTTATAGGTTATATATTCTGAGGTGTTTATATGAGTGAAAAAATTGAACACATTTAAACTGAAATAGGCAGTGATTAACTCTTTCGTCATGATTACACAACATGATTGTCAAAGACTCTTCAGTCCATTTGATGGCCATTAGGTGAAATCTTTGTTCTTTTAGACTTTTCTTTTCTTTTTTCTTCCCTTTTGTTGTTGTCGTTGTTGTTGCTAGTGGATGGGAGGTGTGTTCCTTAACTGAAGTTTGGTCAGAAAAAAAACTGCTTTTTATCTAAAATTGAGAATTATTTTATTTCTCTTTTCGGTCTTGTGATTCTTTATATTAAAAAGTCATTTAAAATTTAATATTATCTGGCCTCACTGCGTGACTCTGGCCTGTTTTTCTGTCTCCTTCTCAATCCTTGCTGTCGTTGGATGCTGCTCCCTAAATATAAGCTGTGCTGTGATCCCTCATTGTTTTAGTTCATTCTAGTCCCTGGTCTCCATGGGACTAGAATGAGCTAGTACCTTTTCATTCTTGCCTTTCTAGTAATCACCAGCTTCTCTTGAGGACCTCGTTGAGGTGTTAATTCTCCATAAATCTCTGAATTATTCTTCTCTGCCTCCCCCAACAGAATTAATTTCCTCTCTTCCTTTTGTTGTGATAGGTGGCTCCTACAATAACCATGAATCATAGATGTGTCATAGTTACTGAGAGTAGGAGCCATGTGTTATCCAGCATTGTCTCTCCTGGGACAAGTGTGTAGTGAACATTTGTTGACTTGAAATGGTTAGAACTCCATGCTTGTCATGATTAAGAGAACAGCTTGCCTCATTCAATTCCCCCATCACGGTAGCCCACAGTCACTGTTGCTCGCACACCCTGCTCCCACCCATTCTATTGAGGTTGTCGGGTTCTATTCCGATGCATTTGGGAGCAGTCAACGGAGGATCCTTTTGAGGAGCTGGAGCACAAGGAGACTGGCTCTTAGTCTTCATGGACGTTCCGTTTTGAGAGTTTGCTTTTCTCCCCGCCTTTCCGCAGGACCCCAACAGGAGTATCCATCCCAGCGGCAGCAGCAGCAGCAGCAGTTGTAGCAGCAGCAGCAGCAGCAGCAGCAGCAGTAGCAGCAGCAGCAGCAGTAGCAGCAGCAGCAGCAGCAGCAGCAGTAGCAGCAGTAGCAGCAGCAGCAGTTTTTCCAAGCCTCACAAATTAACGAAGGAGCACAAGGAAAAACCTTCTAAAGACTCCAGAGAACATAAAAGTGCCTTCAAAGAACCTTCCAGGGATCACAACAAATCTTCCAAAGAATCCTCTAAGAAACCCAAAGAAAATAAACCACTGAAAGAAGAAAAGATCGTTCCTAAGATGGCCTTCAAGGAACCGAAACCCATGTCGAAAGAGCCAAAACCAGATAGTAACTTACTCACGGTCACCAGTGGACAGCAAGATAAGAAGGCTCCTAGTAAAAGACCCCCCATTTCAGATTCCGAAGAACTCTCAGCCAAAAAAAGGAAAAAGAGTAGCTCAGAGGCTTTATTTAAAAGTTTTTCTAACGCGCCACCGCTTATACTCACTTGTTCTGCTGATAAAAAACAGATGAAAGATAAATCTCATGGCAAGATGGGAAAGGTCAAAATTGAAAGTGAGACGTCAGAGAAGAAGAAATCAACTTTACCGCCATTTGATGATATCGTGGATCCCAATGATTCCGACGTGGAGGAGAATATGTCCTCTAAATCTGATGTGAGTAGTCTGGCTGGTTTTCCTCCTTTCCCTTATTAGTTTTCCAGTTTTATTTCCGATAGCTTCAGCATAAGAGACAGAGGAAGGAGAATGACAGTTGCACCAGAAAATGGTAGCATGGAAGCAGACATGGCCTAGAAACGAATTTCCTTAACTAGTGGAAAGAAGGAAATGAAATCATTAAGGAATCTGCAGACTTGTAGGCTATGATTTAAGTTGTTAAAGGAAAGATATGTCCCAGAGTATAATAATGGGTCATTTGAATAGCAGCAGAAAAATCTAGATGCTTATCAGAGCTTAGTTACTATGCTTTCCAGGAAAGTGAGAAGAATGCAATGAAAGTAGAATACACCAGAAAATAAATTTTGAAAAGAAACAGAAAGTATTAGGGTGTAGCTACAATGTTGATCTTTTTGATGAGTGTAATGAAGTAATTTGTTTACATAGATTGAAAACTGGTGATAGTATTTTTCAATACTTTTATCAAGGCAAAATTGATATAACAGTATACTGTATATTTAAAATGTGTGATTCGATACATTTTGATGTTTATTTGTGTCATGAAACCAGGTAGTGGTATTTTGGAAATGAAATATTTAATTTTTCCCCCACTGTATAGCCACTGATTTGGAAGGGGCAGGGTATATATCTTCATTACAAGGTTTGCTAATGGGTAGGATGATCTTTTGTGGGTTCCTAAAAGAACATTTGGCCATCTGATAATCCCCCAAAATATTATTTGATGTTGAGATTTAAACTTTTTTTTTTTGGCCTGCATTGGGTCTTCGTTGCTGTGCGCAGGCTTTCTATAGTTGCGGCGAGGGGGGGGCTACTCTTCGTTGCCGTGCGTGGGCTTCTCATTTTGGTGGCTTCTCTTGTTGTGGAGCACAGGCTCTAGGTGCATGGGCTTCAGTAGTTGTGGCACGCGGGCTCTAGAGCTCAGGCTCAGTAGTTGTGGCGCACGGGCTTAGTTGCCCTGCGGCATGTGGGATCTTCCCGGACTGGGGCTCAAACCCATGTCCCCTGCATTGGCAGGCGGATTCTTAACCACTGCGCCACCAGGGAAATCCCGAGATTTAAACTTATAATTACTATTTCTTGGAGTTGGAAGGGAATTTCAGGTTACCTATTCTAACCTCCTGCCAATGTAAGAAATCCTGCACTTCTAGTGACAGAACTGTTAGTAATTCAAGTATTCCATTCTATTTCTGGAGAATGAACATTATTTACCATGAAGTTATCTCCTCCTCGCTTCCCTTTTTTCTCTAGCTTTGGCCTTTTACTGTTACTTATCAGTCATGATCGGTCCCAGTAATCTCTTTAATTTCAGTTGTCAGTATTTCTAGACAACGGTCAAGGAAGACGTCTGGCTAAAAATTGCTGGCCATTTTAGAATACTTCTCTTTCTTTCCCATAGCGAGGCTCCTCGAAAGTTCCTAATTCAAATGCTGGCAAGGGCTAGGTGGCCTTAGCAGATTCTCTCTTCTCCATTTGCACCATTCTGGGTAGAAAGGCAGCCAGGATTAGGACATGGCATCAGTACCGATCCCTAGTCATCCAGAGACCACCTCCTTCCCCCGCTCTACTCTCTATAGCTAATCTCAAAATTTTAAATCAGATTAGAGGCAGAGTAGCATATAAAATACTGGAGATGGAATAATTCGTTCCAGTGTTTAGTAAAGGCCTTAGAGTGATTGTGAAATGGAGACGAAAGCCTAGTGGGTTTGTCCTAATATCTCAAGCATTTATTTTTCCTTCTTTGCTTTGTACCCCTCCTCTTAATTCACAACTTGCTCTTAATGTAGATGTTCCTTGGAACGTTTTTCGTATGTTTGACTTCTTATTTCAGATCACTCTGAAATGTTCATTGATGCTATTGGGGTGTGACTAGTCTATCAAGATTGTCAAGTTCAGCAATTTTGTCTCTCCATATTCTGTCATGTTGCAGTTCTTCTAGAACAGAGGTTTTCAAATTGTGGTTTGTGATTTACTAGTGAGCCATGAAATCAATTTAGCATGTCATCACCAGGATTAAAAAAGAAAATCAGAATACATTGTAACTAGTATGGGTAAGTAATGGTTTGTGAAATTTTTATTTCAGAAGCTGTGTGTATTTCTTATGGTAGGTCATCATCAAAATTTTGAAAGACACCTTTCTTGAATGTTTGCTGATTTGTGAGAAGATCAAATAGCATTCATAAAGCACTATTGAATGCGCTTTCTACAGGAAATTATCACAGGTGATCTTCCTCTTTAGCTAATTCTGTGTATTCTTATTTTTGTTTGCCTCTTGCTCCCTCCCTTTTATATATGATTTATAAGGTATGACTTTTCCTAAACATCATGTTCAACTTGATAGGTTTATCCAAAGCAATACCTTGCAAAGTCTTCTGGAATGAAGAGTGAGGATTGTAATTCCGTACAGTAGGTAGCAAATTTTCAAGATGATTCATGACGTGTCAGAGCCACCTATCCAGTGACCATAACAGGAGTTTTTGTAATGTGGTTTGCATTATCCTTACTGAGAAAGCCTCTAAAGACTTTTGGGTATTATTTGGGTATAAAACCCAACAACTGTACTTTCCTCATTAGTTTTCTGGTAGTAATGCTTTTATTGTTGCTGCTTTGGTTTAATCTTCTAAATATAGGTGGTAGAACAGAAGAGAATTGACAGAGTGTTTCCAAGTAAATCAGCACCCAAAAGACTTTCTGTGAACGAAGGAGGTTAGAGGAGGGCTGAAATTCCCTTTCTCCAGTGGTAAAGGTAGCCTGTGTTTGGCCTTTCTCCTACTTGGTGTCCCTCCCGTGGTTAAGACCGAAGGAGCAGGAAGCAATTGTAATGGAGAGAACTAAGCACCCCGTAGTCTCCCTTGGCGAGGTACTGATTGGATAGCTTGGGACAGGCCCACCTTTAGGGGGCACCATTCACATTGTCCTGGTGGTAAGTGTGTCTGCATCTGAGTAAGTAGGATCAGATGACCTGATCTGTTGAAGGACCTTTACAGCTTCATTATTTGAATATGAGCCAGATTTATCTTCATTTGTGGAGGGCGGGGTAGAGGGTAATTTTAGACATAGCAGGCAGAGATCATGGACTTTGGAAACAGAAAAAGGACACAAAAAGAAATTGGACGAGTGTGAAGAATTGGGAAGGACCAGGGAAAAAAGGTTATTCACCTGGTATGTCTGTAAAGAAAATCTCTTGCGTTGGTACAGGTTAGTTACGCTTAAAAGGAAGAACTTTTTAAAGAAGCTTTTCCATAATTAAGTTAGATTCAGGTTTTATATAAAAATAAAAATCAGTGCTATTAAGATGGATTGGGAAGCTTAGATTGTTGATTCATATAGTTCTTCTCAGTTATGATTTTTATATACTTTGTATGTGAGTAGAGAAAAAAAAAGTGGTGCATCCATGGTTTATGTGCCTGCATGATTTTTGAGGAATCACTTATTTGTTGATGAGTATGTAGGTAGGTAGGTAGTAAAGTAATCAAATAATTAGGAGTATGCCCTCTGGTGTCAGACGGGCTGTGTTTTGAATCCCCGCTCCACCATTGATCTTAGTTAAACGATTTGACCTTCTGTATTTCTTAGTTTCTTTTTTTCTGAAGTAGAGATCATAATAGCCTTTACTTTGTAGGATTATTGTGAAAATAGTCAATCTGGGTAAATCACTTAACATACTAATAAAAAATGTTATGAGGGACTTCCCTGGTGGCGCAGTGGTTAAGAATGCAAGGGACATGGGTTCGAGCCCTGGTCCGGGAAGATCCCACATGACGCAGAGCAACTAAGCCTGTGCACCACAACTACTGAGCCTGTGCTCTAGAGGACGCGAGCCACAACTACTGAGCCCATGCGCCACAACTACTGAAGCCTGTGCACCCTAGAGCCTGTGTTCCGCAACAAGAGAAGCCACTGCAGTGAGAGACCCGCGCACCGCAACGAAGAATGGCCCCTGCTCGCCGCAACTAGAGAAAGCCCGCGCACAGCAACAAAGACTCAATGCAGCCAAAAATAAATAAATAAATTTATAAAAATAAAAACAAAAAATGGTGGAGTAACTTTCTCAAGACCAATTTTGTGAGGAGGTGCAGCAAAGGGTATGCGCTCAGGCTCAGGAAGCTGATGGCCTGGGTTTGAATACTGGCAGGATCTTTACTTATGGCGCTCAGTCTCTTCGTTGCAGCACTCAGGCTTCTCCCTAGTTGTGGTGTGCAGGTTTTCTCTCTCCAGTTGTGGCACACAGGCTCCAGGGCACATGGGCTCTGTAGTTGTGGCACAGGGGGTCCAGAGCGCATGGGCTCTGTAGTTTGCAGCACACACAGGCTCTAGTTGAGGCGTGTGAGCTCAATAGGTGTGATGCTTGGGCTCAGTTGCCCAGTGGCATGTGGGATCTTAGTTCCCTGACCAGGGATCGAACCTGTGTCCCCTGCATTGTAAGGTGGATTCTTTACCACTGGACCACCAGGGAAATCCCTGAAAGAAATTTTTTGATATTCAAAAATACAGCAGAGGGCTTCCCTGGTGGCGCAGTGGTTGAGAGGCTGCCTGCCGATGCAGGGGCAGGGGGTTCGTGCCCCGGTTCAGGAAGATCCCACATGCCGCGGAGCGGCTAGGCCCGTGAGCCATGGCAGCTGAGCCTGCGCATCCGGAGCCTGTGCTCTGCAACGGGGGAGGCCATAGCGGTGAGAGGCCCGCATACCGCAAAAAAACAAAAACAAAAACAAAAAAAAACCCAGCAGAATTCTAGTGTCCTTTTTGAAGAGTGTGTTAAATGTTCTAAAAGAGAAAAAGTACTTGGAATATATGTCACATTCCTCTGAATTTTGTCTTGAGGAAGTATGTGGCTTTGATATTGATGTGCATATGTAACATGGAAAAATACAGGACAGAGCATCTCAGTTTTATTTATTTATCTATTTTTAACTTTTTAAAAATTATTTATTTATTCATTTTTGGCTGTGTTGGGTCTTTGTTGCTATGTGTGGGCTTTTCTC